ACTGGCAAGCTACCCTTGAGTATATCCATCCTAAACGTTCTGAGCTCAGAAAGCTATATGTGAGCATCAAGCGCTAAACACAATAAAATAAGAGGCCTCGTTCCCATGACACTGAAAGTGCATCCGATACGCCAACGTTGGGGAGGATGAGCATGGAGTGGCTGCTTGAAACCTCGGAGACACTCTATGCGGTCACAATCTCGAAGAAATAAACTGACGATCTGCACATACTGTCCACGATCACTTGCATCTGAGTGCTCGACAGAGGACTTGGTCATGCAGGCAAGAATGATAAGGTACGATGTCATCGCACTGGCTGAGACGAGTAAAACACCGCCCATTCAATGGTTTTGATGACACCAGCGAAGAACTGTTCTTCAAGAACAGCCGTTAATAGGGAGTCTGCGGCTTTTCGACGACAAATTTTCCACCAACATGACTTTAGCCATGAATATCGATTTCTTCGAACAACTAGCAACTAACATCGGATCTATACAGTTGAACAAACGTGGATCAATACCGCTTTTGAGTCGTTTATACCCCGATAGCAGACTATGAGACGAAGTCGAAGCGTTCTCTGTGGACTTGGAGAAGTTCTAAAGAGAAGATCACTCGTTCTTTAAGGTCATTATTGGAGAGTCTAACGCTAAAATTGGACCCGGAAGGAAGTCTGAAAAACATCACATTGGAACTCACGGATTCATATGGAACGAACAGGTTACGCGGGTGTCTGAGTTTGTCACGACAACCAACACCATTATTCATGGTAAATCACAATCCGAGAAGCCACGATCTCAACACTGGACGTTTGATTCTCCAAGTGGAGAGCAAACGGATAAAGGATAACCAGTGGAGAGTACCATAGCGAAATAGACCATAGTAAATCGAAGGTTTTGCCTAACCGATGTCGCTGTTGTCCCAAAATTCGACACCTCATCAAACCATCACCTCCTCAGCGCAAAATTTCACTTTGTGAGGAACGGAGAGAAAGGTTCTAAGTTAGAAAAAAAACCATGTGCAAAAAGCACCATAAACTGCTTATTCAGTTCATTAGTCGGCTTTTGGGAAGATGCTGTCCTTGACCACATCGACGAGGAATACGATTGGCTGGTTCAACATCTTCACGCTAGCGTTATGAAAGCTGAGAATTCGAAAATCACCAATAGACGCCTGTCTCCAGAAACACTCCAGCTGATATGCCGGCGTGGAATGGCGCGAGCTGCAGGCAACTTCCAACTATCCTCCGAACTTGCAAAACAATGCAGGCAAGCGATAAAAGAGGATTTTAAAGAGAGAAGAGTAGCCGTTATGGTCCAAACTACAGAGGCGGCTGGGATCAAGATTTTTGCAGTGCGACGTCCAGACATTTACAGTTAAGAGAAAAGCAGTGGAGAAAATCATTCACGATTACTGCACAGATCCCTTCAATAGCCACGTCCCCACGCCCCCATATGAAGTAAAGGATGGGCGCGTTACCCCACCGGTTTTCCCTTTTGAGATCTTCGTCGCTGAAAAATTGGACAACATTTAATCCGAGCTGGATAAGACCTGAACACCTGAGGAACTCTCCGTTAGTCCTGAGCACGCTTACTCCGCTCTTCACACGTTACCTGTCAGCATGCAAGGCTACTTACTATTCATTGGCGGACAAGCAAGATTGTGTTATTGTTCAAGAAGGTGACAACCACGATATTAGTAACTATCGTCCAATCTTCTTGCTGTCTGCCTTTCTACAAACTCTTCGCTCGAGTCGTCCTAAACAGAATTGACAGAAAACTGGACGAAGGAAAACCAGGTGAGATAGCTTGAATACTTGGATGGTCCGTCTTCACTGGTTGTGCGGGCCCCAGCATAATTTCCGTTTTTACGGAGTTTTGCTGGTCTAGCCATTTTGGTTGCCTAGAGTCCCGAAGTCAGCCAAGCCAAAGTGTGCCCTAAGTCGTCACCACCACAAGAAGTCGCCACTCTCGTGGATCAGCGGTATATTTGCGACCATGCGAGTACTCGGACGGTGGTGGATCCTCGTATTGGTTTACTCTTAGCTATTCTTCCTGATGGAAACGCCCGACTCCTCACCTGGGGAGACCCTGCTGGGGTACGAATCTCCCAGCTGTACATCTCAACCCAACAAGCAGGAACACCTCCGAGCAACGATGAGGCGGTAAAACGTTGGGAGTGCTGCTATATTTAGTGCATTTAACTACTCGACGAGCATTCAGAACTGAACTATCTCATAAGGCTTACTTTGCTTATCGTTGGGAGATATTGAGGTGAGATAGAAGAGTTTCGAAAAGGATTAAGAAGGCTGGACCACATCTACAGGATAACAGGACCACCTTCTTCCTCACCTTTATCGGTTTAAAGAATGCTTTCGACTCAGTTGAGAATGGAGAAGTCATGGAAGCTTTACGCAGAGAGGGCGGCCTTACTCATTACGTAAAGATTCTTCGTGGGCTATACAAAAACGGTTAAAATATCGCCATTCTATAAGGCCAGTAACATTGACGTAAAAAGTGAGATTAGGTGATGTGATGTGATACCATTTTGCCAAAAATATTCACTGCTGCGGTCTGTAGCGTCATGCAAACACAATAAATGGGATGGCACAACCTGGGAGTAAAAATCGATGGTCGGAGATTACACCATCTTCGCTTTGCTGATTATATCGTTCTTAAAACATCAAACATTAGCCAGGTGGAACGAATGCTTCCCGACTTTGGTGAACCCTGTGGAAATATTGCGTATGCCCCATTCACGCTCAACGGAACAAATGTCCCCGAATGCTCTAGTGACGTTTATCTAGGTCGGGAAATCATGATGAACGACTTAGCTCCAGAGCTGAGCACGAGGATGCGAGCTGCTTGGAGAGCTTTCAAGCATCAAAGATGTTGAGGAGAACAAAGAATACGCGACTCGGCGCTCACCTTTTCGATTTCACACTTCTTCCTGTCTTAACGCACGCGTCAACGATCTGGTCGTTACGTAAGTTTGATGAAGGATCACTCGGCAATATCGAACACACCGTGGAGAGGACGATTTTGGGAGTGCCGACGAATATGCAAGTGAGAGAAGGGATCCGATGTTCCCATCCAAGTCAACGATCAGAAATTAGGGAGTCGGTTCTAGTCGACAAACTGTCGGCTGGGCCGCTTATTTAATGCTTTTCAACGGCAATGGATAAACAAGCGCATTTAGCAACTGGATTCATTGGGAATGTCAAAGATGATGTAGAAAGACCACCAATTCGATGATCAGAGTTCTTCACGGAAGCCATAGAAGGATGACATGGCTTCGTGGGAACTCTAGAAGGAAGATATGGTGGTCGATCAGTTCATAGAGCTAGCAGAACAAGCTGGGCTACTCCTACACTCGACAGGGGTAAATGGAAGGTTTACTTGCGCTAACTCAAGTCATTTGACGGTCAACGAGACGGCAAGTGATAAAGATGATAGGAAACAGTGTCTTTTACTCTTCTAAATGACTACTTCCTTAATAGGAAGTAGAGATACGTAGCTTCAAGAAAGCTGAAACATACAATAGTCCTAGAAAGAAAAACACAGCAATATCCCAAGTCTAGGCATTAGAAGAAGGGTATGAATCGGTATTATGGCAATAAATAGAGCGCCTGCCGAGATAAGTGGGAAGAAGCACGTTTGTTGCACGCTTCAACACTGATATCCAATACTTGCGGAAATCTTTTTGTTACGAGAGGGTGATAAATGGGGAGATTCTAGGGTAATAGCGCGTTCGTTCTCCAGCGCCTGCGGTCCCGAATTTTGCAGATATCTCGGCATTATTGTGGTTGTTTCACACATAATACCGTTCCATGAAAAATTGTAATAGGCAGCAAATAAAAAAGTTAGCGTTGACGAGATTTTGTTTTAGCATAGTTTTATACTCAGGCTTCATTCAAACGTTTATGTATAAAAGAGCTTGGCGTTCATAAGCATGTTTCCACGTAGCTCCTTGCCTCCAACTCTTTTCCTCATAATATTCTTCTGGTCGATGAACGACAGCGCCATTATAACTACTCAAGAAAAAAAAGCGTTATATAACATCCGATCTTTTAGAATGATCTACGAGTCGTGTAATAGAAGCCACAATTTTCTTGGCCCACATCATATTCAGATTCTGCGCATTACTCAGATGTTAAGTTTCAAGTTTCCTGAACATTCTTTCTTGTGCAACCACTATGATTAGTCGTTCTCATGTTTCATCGCCTCGTTTAGCCTATGAACATATCTCAACTTGCAGTGAACATTGTTGAAATAAAAATCAGAGCAATCTACAATAGCAGAGTGAAGTCTTGGTCTTCTCGGACAACAAAGGGTAATTTCTTCATCGAGGCTCATAATTTCAACTGCAGAGCAAATGAGCAAGCAAGAATTTCGAACAAACAAACACAAACACGAATAGATACACACAAACACACAAACAAACACACACACATACACACCGACACACACACACACACACACACACACACACACACACACACACACACACACACACACACACACACAAAGCTCAAAATGTTCCAAAAGCATGGGAGATAGTTAGAGAAGCTTTAAGTATACGTAATAAACGGGGAGACTGCAATCACTAGTGGAATACATAGAATAATTGAATTGGAGAGCGAGAAGGAGAGCAAAAGGGCCGGATCAGTGAGAGAGGGTCGGGCCAGCACGATTTAACATCAACTCATAGTGAGTGCAGAGGAAAAGAAAATTCGGATTAAAGCGATGGGACAACCGCGCCGTTTTAGGGGTAGAACACTAATTGTTAGATCACACTTCTCTCCGATCTCGTTTCAGCGATATCTCTTACTACTTGTCGTTTGTTCCACACTGATCCTTCATGTAACTGTTTTGTACCAACATTATGCGCTTTTGTTTTGACAAAGGAAAACATACATTGTCAAGTGCTTAAATGTTTCTGTTTTGCGTTTTTGATTCTTCTCACATATCATACACTAAGCACCAGTTTCAGTTTGCAGTTCAATGGAGTTAAAAGAACGGCTCAAGGCTTATCGTATGGTCGCGATTTCTGTAACGGTCGCCTCACTGTTTGCGACATTTTGTGCTTGTGTCACCCTTCCACTAGCATATGTCTATATTAATCATGTGCAAAGCAGTCTGAAAGAAGAGTTCAACACATGTAAATCCAACGCCAAAGATCTTCTAGAAGGTGTTACTGAGATGAAGACGTATTTACTTCGTGAGAATTAGCCATGACTTTCACCAATGTTTTTAAGTTCTACACTATAATCCACTTTTCAGGTACTCGAAGTCCACGCAACTCCAGCCAGGAGAAACTAAACTGGCACGCAACGAACAAATCGCCCTGTAAGCACTGCTGTATACCGGGACCAACTGGCCCTCCTGGACTTCAGGGTAGGCCTGGCCGCCCTGGGAAACCCGGTGTCAATGGCTTGAGTGGCAACACTGGTGGTGTTTTGATAACACCGTTTCTTTATATGACGGCAGACTTTTGCCTTAGGTGTAGTGCAGGACCACCCGGACCAAAGGTAAGACTGTTTCCACAGTTCATGGCTTTCAGATTCCTTGCTCAATATTTTCAACGCTCATGTATATGAGTCCTGTTGTCATTTTTGACAGATTTTCAATTCTGTAGGGTCTTCCTGGGCCACCAGGCGATCCAGGACTACCTGGCAAGCAGGGGATGCCTGGAGTTCCCGGACAACATGGAATGAAAGGGCCCAGAGGGACAACGGGAACACAAGGATATCCTGGAGTGCGAGGAATACCGGGACATCCAGGTATTACGAGCTCCACCCTGTGGTTACGGTATCAATATTTTTGTGCAACTTTAGTAGGTGGTGGTGAAGTCCTACCCAGTTGTCTTTTCTGATATCCAAAATTTAGGTTTGTCTTGTGAGCTCAACCAGACCATGCACGGAAAGCCTGGACCACCTGGGCAACGTGGTCCTCCAGGTGAACGAGGGCCACCTGGACGGCCTGGTATAGATGGAAATATTGGTGGGAGACCTTTTTTCATGATGGATACATTATTCAATATTCCCTTAGCGACCTCTCCAAAGCCATAAATATGAGTGTTCCTTATCATACAATATCGAGCTAAAAAAGCCTGTTCTACAACATACTCTCCCTTAATTTAGTGCATAGTATGCAGAGCTGATTCTTCGACAACTAAGAACGTTTTTTTATTAGAGTATGTGAGCAGTGTGGCGCATGTAGCGCAGTAGTCCGAGGCGCCCTGCAATACAAACATGGGATCGAACCCCACACCTGTGCATCACCAACCTTCCATCCCTCCGGGGTCAACAAATTGGTACCAGACTTGTCTGGGAGGATAGCAGCACTGGTTCGATACATTGGTAGAACACCTTGACGATGCTATTGTAAAGGCCAGATTTGCATTCAATCACCTCCAACTATGCTTAGTGAAGTCGAGTGCATGGCGTATTTTTCAGGGATTGATCAACGGCGACAGCTTTATCCTTTATCTTTATTATGTGAGCAGTTGAGCACAGACGAGGACTTTCACTGTCTCTCTAGTCGTACATATAATTTCTTTGAAACGTGCTCTGTCAATTTCAAATATGTTTCAAGCTAAGTTTCCAAAAAAATTAGAAATGAAGCTGAAGAGTTTGAAGGTTCCAACACGAGAACACACCTGCAAACACCCACGATGCAATGTGAATCGCCTTCTCATCTTTGCGGAATAAATTCTGCCTGTTCAAATCTTTGGTTTTCTAGTACGACTTCTATGCAAAAATGTAAAAGAAATATATGTAGTGGACTCGGTAAAATCACATTTCCACCTTGATAGACTACGAAGTCTTGCACAACGTAACCAGACACCTATCGATTCCATTGCTTCTCATTTCACCGAATAAAGTTTAAATATGAGCTGAGATATGCTGGCTTATAGTTGAAATCGGCCATCATTTTGCCATATAAAACATTATATTCAATACATGTTGCGCTCTATATGCTAAATATACATATATGAGCTCACAAGAAGAATAAAAAGTGGTGCTGTAAGCGTTGGTCAGTCCATGAGTGATGCGCTGTGCATTCGACTTCATTAAGCATCGAAGGTGATCGAATGCATTTCTGCCCTATACAATGACTTACGGTGGCTTATCGATATTCGAAGTCAGTGTAAGCATTCTACCAGGAAAGTCTGGTACCAATTTGCCTAATGCGGAGAGATGGAAGGCTTGGTGAATCTGAGGTGTGGGATCAAACCAATGACCATTTGTACATTGCAGGGGGCAACTCTAGCTTTTGCGCTACGAGCGACCCCACAAATTAGCAATTCATATTTAGCGAAAAGTTGTCGGTAGTTGATGAAGAACTAGTTTCGTCACGAAAATGTTAAATGAGAAAAATTGGACTGAATGTGGGCCCAAATTTTAAACGGCTGACCTGTCGGCGATTCCGCCCTCGTCAGAGCCGTGCTGTTACGAGTGAGTCCCACTCACACTAAGCTCAAAAAGATCAGTTTATAAGGTCATATAAATAAATATATCAACTATTTATACCGAGATTTGTAGGAAGTGGGGTTTTTGAACTACTAGGGGTTGACTGATTGTAGTCTTTGGAAAAATTCCATTTAACACTTTGATGAACTCACACTTTGTGCAAGCATAGTCTTTTTAGGTAATATGAAAATCTCCATGCAAGTCTCCACAATGAGTTATCGTCTTATCATGCTGAGAGGGTATCCCTAAGATTTAAAATTTGGTGTGCAGACACAGTGGAGCACTCGCGCATGCTAGCACTCGCGGCGAGATTCAAATAAGAGAAATGAATTAGTTCAAAAAGTGTTTTTTTATGATTTACTAAGTATAGAGATCAGCTATTCAACGACCACGCCTGTCATAACTTTTGTGCTCGATAGGCCACTGACCGAATATAAAAGCTGCGTAAAAAAGCTTTCCGACAAAATAAAATGACAAGTGTTCATTGAAATGAACCCATGAAGTCGGTTGCGCTAGCAAAAGCGTGAAGTATTTTTCATAGTTGAAAAGCGGTTAAGAATCGATCTAGTAGGTTTTTTCAATTTCAAACGTTTTCATCTAAATTAGTCAGTCATGAAATGTGTTCGACTTCCTATCTCATCCATATTGTATGTGCTTTATAACTGCAAATTGGGCATTAAAAGGCGCAGCGGCAATCCGTGTTGTTGTAATACAGAAGTCAAGGAAAGGATGTGTTATTGTCAGTGGTAGTTGTTAGGTTGATCCTCTTCATTTAGGTGATGCTGGACCTAAGGGACCACCAGGCAAAGACGGAATGCCAGGACCACCTGGTAGGCCCGGGCCGTCCGGCTTGCCAGGAGCGCGCGGAAGAAGTGGTGGTAAAGGTGTGTGTCCCATCTACTGTGCATTAGACGGTGGTGTGTTCTTTGAGGATGGGATTCAGCTGGCACGATGAGCAGAATAAGCGTTTCTTTATCACCTCTTGAATTATACTCTCTAGAATTAGCAAAGTGCACTGTGATTGCTAGTTAGTTATACTATTTGCGTTCAGGCTAACCATATGTGAGTACTTCATTGATCCAGGAAAGCTTATAAAATAAATTTTATGGGTGAAATGAGTACTAATGAGAACCTGTACAATTTGCAGCCAAGAAGAACGCTCCAGTCAGGTTTTTATTGCCACCATATGAATGTTCATTGTCTTCTATAATATTTGAATCATGTTTTGTTTTGCTATACATTTTAAGCGTACTAAGGTTGTAATGTTGGGTAGGACTCGAAATGTACTCGATTTGCCCGTAATCGTGTATTATGAGAGCTAAACGTATTGACTAACAGTTACGAAATCATCAACGCAACCCTGCTCGTTATATTATGTCGTCGTAAAATATAATGTAAAATAAAGTAGTTCGTATTCACGTATTACTCCACAAATGCCATAACTGCTTCGGCAACTTTTTGTTTTGGAATTTAGTCATTCAACGACCGAACTACATGTTCTCAGGTGCCACCAAGACGGTTGTAATATCAGCACCACTTAATGTTTAACGGATATCAAGCCGATTTCGTAGTAACGAAATGCATTTACAACAGCCTCAACATGATGAGAGACAGCTCCTTTTTTGGTCTGAGTTAACATCAAAAGTGCACCTACTCTAAAGGGGCCAGGTGGAACTAGGAGTAGAAGAAGGAACAAAATTTGCACGGTTAGTTTCCACCAATATATGGAAAGTTCGCAAAAAACAGTGAGTTTTAAAAAAAGCTGCTATTGAAGTAGGCATGGAATTGAAATTTGGCTAGCGAGTTCTTCTATCGGGGTTCTGGAAGTATTTGGCTAAATGCATTGCACATCAACTTGAGCTTTCCTGACTCCAGTGGGAGTGGGATCCGCCGAAACGCTAACTATCGTTAACTAAATATTATAGCGAAAAGTTTACGTCTACTCATCAAGAAAACAGTGAGTGACTCTTGACCAATGTCAAAGTTACCGGACAGTCCAGTCTAGGAATTACTGAAAAGTGTATTTGAATGTAGTTCTGAAGGACCCGAGGGTCGGTGGAAAATTCTGCTGCTCTAGAGCACCTTCAGATTCCTTTTAATAGAAAGTTTGTCTCAAATCTTCAAAATTACTTCTGTGAATCATATAGCGAAATGTAAATATGTAAATCCAATTTTTTTCGCCATATTAAGAAACCCTATCGCTGCCTCCTTTAGACACCCTTACTGAATTCTGTAGTTTTATTCTAAGAGATGACTTTTTACAGAACAAACAGCTCTTCTACCTTAGCGCTGTGAAATCACAAGTTGAACAGATTTTACAGGAGACGTTGTTAGACCTATTCTCAGTTAATAAGTGAAATCAATATAGGCATGACATATAATCCACTTTAGGATCTATTCTTTGTCGGGAAATCCACAATGCACTTGAAGGATAACGCTTTCATGAGCACATGAGCCAAGACGCCACAGCACCCAACCGTCATTTACTCGCTCTGTGTTGTAGGTGTAGAACCTTAAAATTTGGTAGTAAAATGAAGTATTTGAAATAAGTGAAGCAAAGTAATCACATTTTATTTGAGAGGCTTCTATACCCATACTGATCAGCGAAGACCTGAGCTATTTCCTTAGCATGCTAAACTGGTTTAGGCTAGTGACATCTATTCCACATGAAATATTGCTGAGACAGAACATATTTTTAAGCTTCACACCAGGAAAAATTCCGTCCTACTAATTCGAATCCATAACCTCAAACTTGACCACCTGTGAAACAATAGCCAGCAATTCTTGAAACGATTTAATAAATAAGTTATACGTACGATGATAAACCCAGGAAACACTTCAATTTTTTTACATTATTTTTGGCTACGTGCTAATGCTCTCCTGCAGACTTTATGAAACTGCAGAGGCATTGACAGATAATGCACAGTTATGGTATAATATTGAGGTACAACACTCATCATTAATATGTATTCTTTCTTTGATGAGCTTACACGAGGTTGATAATGATATTTATTTTCGGCTAACGTTTCGACGTCTTCGTCTTCCTCAGAGCCGGTGATCCGAGTCGATGGTCGATGGAAGACCTGACTCGACACGAAGGCGAAGCTGCCACGTCGAGACGAATAACAAGCGTGGACCATCGACTCGGATCATCGGAAGACGAAGACGTCGAAACGTTAGTCGAAAATAAATATCATTATCAACCTCGTGTAAGCTCATCAAAGAAAGAATACGTATTGATTAGTGATACCGAGGTTCAAGGAAAGTCGGTTTCGAAATATTACTACTTATCATTAAAATTCTTCCCAGCTAATAAAAGGCACAACAGAGTCGGCGAGCAAACGTAACATTTTGCTAAAAACGGTAAGAATAAAGGGTCCCATACTCAGTGTTATGCTCTTCAGGTAATTGAACAGAGCCTAATGAGCAACTCTGGCACGCGACAGACAGGAATAGGTATTTTCATGGTACCTGCTCAGTTAACTAAATAACCAGTAGGGTTTTATCCGATGCAGTTGATTATTTACTAATTCCGTGTTCGTTGAATGAATCAATGAAGAGAACCATAGGCCTTCATTTCGAGGTCAAATAAAGATCGGCCTTGTAATGTGTCACTAATTTCGTGCGCTATAGGAGAGATTGTTATCAAGCAAATAAATTGTATTGCATGGAAAATCGATCAACAGCAGTCTTCTACAATGGAATAGGATCGGGTTGCGTTGATTCGTTAGTATGCTGTTCGAGCCAACTTCATTTGACCGAGGGCTAAAGACGGCAATAAATCCGGAAATCTCAATTGCGCATGAAATCGAGTCGTCTAAATGCAGCTTCGAATTTGGCGATAACGTAGGTAAGATAAAAATCTTGAACAACTTTATGTTGCCTTGTTGCGAACAATGACGTGCGGTAACACAAGGGGATCAGATTTTGGTGAATATATCTGAACATCGTAGAAGCGGCAACCCAAGTGGCATGTGCCACTGTCCGGTTGACTATAAAGTAATTCAGGTCAGATGGTTGCCCTACACCACTATGTGTTTGCCTGCTTTCATCTGCATTGCATTCCTCCTGTTAACGGTCGAGGGGCTACTAGTACATTTATCCCTAGCATGTGCAAGAGCGGTACAGTCAGTTTTGGTCGGACAACTCTAAGCGCATATTATTTCTGTTGTAGGATGTCAATCAAGGAGTCTCATCATCTCGTCTTCAATTCTTGTAGCGAAGCACAATATTCTGAAAGGTAGTGGGTTTGCTAGTTCGGGCGTATGTTCCCGATTGTCAATGTCTCGTGCGACTTCACGTTGGTATATTGGCAAGGGTTTCTCTAGTGAAAATCCTCAATTAGGTACTTTAAATTCAGCTCTTTTTAAACTACCGTGACGGTATTCTATGAGCCGTAGACAGTTTTATTTTTCCAAGAATTCGCGAATGTAGGAGAGCAACGATGTTGAACAAAAGCAGTTTGACGATACTTAGTAAAAACTTGAAATAACAGTTGTTAAGATAGGATAGGCAATACTTTCCATTAACTGTAATATGGTCTTTTTGGGATACTCTACTAAGAGTTCGGAATAAGTGTTCTGGAATTTTGAGCTAGCATAGTCTTGGTCCTCATAATAAACTAAGGAAGCCTCCCGCGCTATTCATTCTGCTCCAATACTTGGGTCCCTATGTTAAGTTTTTCACACGTTCTCGTAAGTTCAGTATTAGCGTTGAAGTAGTCAATGACGACCAGAAATAAAATTCGAACAAAATGACCATAAATCGACATTATAGAAGGTAAGGTCTTGTATCTACAACTTCTCCAACTCTATGGATCGCTTCGCTTCGATCTCGTCTTCTTTGCACTATTAACGGCTAAATTCGCCCGTATACTCCCGATTTGGGTGGATAGTTTTCCAAATAAATCGGTGTTTATGGTGAAATTCATGCTGAGGCCAAACACCAGCGGTGTCGACTTCTCTATCATCGTACGTTCTGAAAAACAGCTCTTCTCCGGTCTCATAAACGGCACTTAATGGTTGTCGCATTATTGTTTCGACCAGTCTGATGAGTTTGTACTTAAACCTTTTGGCTTTTATCATCATATTCTCAATGAAAGCCTCGGATGATAGAGTACGAGGACTGCAAGTACAGATCGATACTAGAAACATTCCAGATTCAGGCAGCTTAGAATATCCCTGAACTTTCAGCAACATTGCTGTGCCTTCCCTACGCAGTGCCGTTGTTGTCGAAACTTTTTGGAGCCAGCGGAAAGTGAGGGAAATATGCCCATCATTATTGTTGTTTTTAAAGACTACGACCCATAAGAAGCTTTGCGAGCATTGCTGTGAAGAAAGCGTATACCAACGGCGATAGTTTGTCAGACCTACCTGTGCATAGCAAACAGCATTTGTGTTCTAAAAAAACCTCTCGAGTCCATTGTGAGGTAGAAAATACTTATCTTGGCTTAAGCGTTGTGTCTAATTCGTTGAAGGAATAATAGATTCAGAAATAAGTGATTATTATTTCTCGGATGGTGATGATTCACTGAGAAAGATGTGAAACTTTAGAAATAGAAGTGACAATAACAGTCGATCTCACCGTACGCACTGTCGATTCGTCGTTGGGCTCTTTGAAATGACGGAGTCTCTATCAGCACCATCGCATTTGATGTTGCAAGAATGACGGGTGTCAGCTAGAATCTACTAACTTGGAAAGCAATTATTTTTTAAGAAGACGTCGAAAACAACGTTTTGCTCTTTTGAAAAACAAAACGTCACCGTTCTGGGTACAGTCAGCATTTTGGAATGTCTCATTTCGAACCGCTAGCTGACAATCGTTGACGAAGCACTTCAGCGTTCGCTCCTCTGTAGAAGGTAATCGGATCAACAATGTTGTTATGATTTGCAAACGAAAAGTCAATTTTCAAACATCGCTTTTTGTTCTCATATAGGATGGGTAGCGATTGACATCTCACTAGGATAAATTCAACACGTGTAAGGCTCCGGTCGACTCTGTGTCGGTTCAGTTAAGCCTTCCGTCCCTCTGGAGGCCCATATGGGTACTGTACATGTCTCATAAACTCACTGCCATCCACAAAGGCTGGTCACTATATTTGGTGCAGATCTGGAAACGACCTAGCACCGCTATTTCATGATTGCAAGGTGAATATACCTCACACCATTCAAAGACATTTATAAAGAACACTAAAAATTCTGAAATGCGAGGAAGCGAGTCGAATGGGAGAAATGCCGAAGGTGGCATAATGTATGTGGTGTTTAGTGATGAAAAGAGGACAGATAAATAATTACGCGCTCATTTAACTAGGATATTTATTCTCTTAAACTAAGAGGCTTGTTGACAACAACACGTCTCTATGAGCTGTAAGTTTTGAGGTTTTGTAACTCATCTGGGGTAAAGTTTATTGAAGTGAAGTTCCTTTGAATCGAAATTTTTTCTAAAGCTATGATTGCTCCTGCTCTTCTACAATCACAAGAATATAGTGTTTATGCTCATATTCATAAATAAAAAAGGCCAACAAAAGAAATGATTGATATTAATCGCGTTTGTGAAACAAACCTTGTTAGTTCATGTTCTCCCTCATGTTGACGAAATTCCTTGTAGGCCTCTCTACTCTATTTATTTTTGTAAAAGGCTTTTACAAAATCATTTGTAAATAATTATATGAACAGATGTGGTAGTAGCTTACCCCAACGGACAAAACATGAAACGAGAGCATAGAAGGGAAGAAAGGCTAAGATACGCGACATTTTTCCAGACTATCTAGGGTTCAAACGAGCCGCTGAATCACGATTGACCCATTTCGATCAGCTATCTTTCCTGTTATACAAACGGAATCCACATTTGAATGTCTTCAGAAAAAGACCGCCGAGGTATGTTAGGCCTCGTTCTCTATGTTAATGCAATAATAATAGGGTTCTCCAAAGTATTTGTGTGATGATGTAGTTTATATTTTAGCTTATTCGACGACTTTGAAAAAATGCTTTAGCGAATGTCTAAATATATTTCAAATGCTAACCTTTGCCAATGGGTCACTGAATACCTTTTTCAAAGCCGGAACATGGAGAGATGTCAGCTCTCTCTCTGTTCTCTTCCTTCGCTTCTTAGATTGGTTGAAAAGTAAATGCAGTTCAAGAGTTCATTACGCGTGAGCTCAAAAACAAATTTATTAGTCAAAATTAGAAGAGTTCAAACTTTGCGCAATTTCGAGCAGAATACAGTTATATTTCGGTATAGTAGAATCCTGAAGTTCTTCAAGTGACGAATTCTCAAGAGGTATTTGGAGATCTTCATCACGAAGTGTGCTCTGTTCGTCTTCTGAGCAACATAAACGGTGATTTTTCTATTGAATTGTGATGAGTGGTGAAAATTGGATTCCAACAACAACCATCGGCGATCAGCGCAGTGGTGGAACGGAGGTGAAACTGCTAGACATTTTCTTAAGCCGAATTTGGACCAAAAGAAACTTGTTGTTATTTTTTGGTGCGCATGAGTCGCGAAGCAGATATGATTGTACGCATGCGAATACGCAAACAAAGATTGCCATGGAAATGATAAAATATAAGATTTACCACAAGGTCTGTAAGCGGTAGATGTTGTTTAATAAAATGAATGTGCGACAAGGTCCAAGCACACATTCCACATGTGACGACGCAGAAGTGAAATGAGTTGAGCAACGAAACCCAGCCCCACTCACCACGACTGTCGTCGGATATTTCTTAACAGATGCTTACTGAAAAAGTTCCCAAAGATGAAAGTGATGTTAGGAATACCTTTCGTTGTCTACAGAGTATCAGAATTTTAGGTTATCGTAATAAACAAATAGGCATCATGCTGTTGGAAATGTTTGGGTTCTAATAGTAAGTATTTTGGTTAGTAAATTTGTGTGTCATCATACTCGATTTAAAATTTATAGTTCAAAATCTTAATTGTTTTTGGAGCAAACCACACAATGAAATTACACAATGGAACAATGAAAAAGAGCTTAGGCGCAACTATATTTCAAAAACCGACATTACCTGACCCCGGCACGAATAATCAATATATACTTCTCATTGATGAGCTAACACGAGGTTAATAAAAAAATTCTACTCGGCTGACGTTTTGGTTCTTTCGCCTTCTTCAGTATCAACAGCCGTCGTGTATGCTGCCCAGTAATTGTAATTCATTCGAGCGGTGGTCCACTCAAGAATATTGGGCTCGAACGACTTACGAAGACCCGCAACGCGAGGATGACCAACTCTGGGCAATCGACTCGGACCAATCCGGCTCTGAAGAACGTGAAGACAACCACAACGTTGCTGAGATATTTGCAAAACTCTGGACCGCAGGTGTCTATGGTGGGGAACGAACGCGCTATTATCCTTTCCGGGGAGTAACGCGTTCACCACCACACCATGCGGGTCCTTTGTTTCGCACGTCTCTCAGCTATTTCTATCGATCTTGAACGTGAAGACGTCAAAACATTAACCGAGTTAAATTTTTCAACTTCGTCTCAGGTTGTCAATGAAAAATATAAAAGCTTGAACAAACCATAGTAGTATTTTAAAACCGACTTTCCTTTAACCTCAGTTTGACAAATCAATATTTATTTTTTCCTTCATAAGGTTACGCGAAGTTGATAAATGATGTTTATTTTCGGCTGACGTTTCGATGGTTTCGTCTTCATCAAAGCCGATGATCCGAGTCGATGTTCCACAACTGTTCGTGTTATCGAGGTGGCACCTTCGTCGCGCATCGAGACGGACATCCTAATTGGAAAATCTCTCTCGAATGAGGTATACTCACAGAGGATCACCAGACAATCAGCGGTATCGATAACAGCCATTCTGTATAAAAGGGCATCACTGAGTGAGTATGCCACATTCGAGAGAGATGCTCCAATGAGGAAAATCATGCCCGGTGCGCAACGAAGACGTTACCTCGAAGCACGAACACATGTGGACAATTGACTCGGATCATCGGCTTTGATGAAAATGAAATTGTCGGAAAGTTAGCCAAAAATAAACATCATTTGTCAACCTCGTGCAAGCTTGTCAAAGAAAGAATACATATGGTTGAGTTATGAAACCTAAATGTTATTGTTCGTTGTACGCGAACTTTCCATTATTTAGAGGCTGATTAGACTTACTTTGCAAGATCGTTAGATTTGTTATGGTTTGCGACAGACGCAAGTCGCTGTGCCTTCTGCTTAATGCCAGGGTGCACGAATCTATATGCGCTAATATGGAGGCTAGTCCCGTTAACTCATCCAATAAGTGGTTTAACTCTGGCATTACACTGACCAGTAATTTGCAAAGAGGCATGTAGCAGCGATCTGAGATATTTTGGGTTCTAGACCGTATCTCATTGCTTCACGGACTTACAGATTAAGCAGTCTCCGCCTAGACTCATATCGAAGGTAGAAGTTTTGACAAGTAGGAAAGTTTGCCGATAGGCCAGCGATGATGCAGTTAGGATCGGATTGAAATAGGCTTCGTGATTAGACGAGTATCAATGCCTATTCCGTATATTTCCACACATATCTTCACACTTTCGAGAGCAAATTTTGCCGCATAACTATCCTAAATAGTCGTTGATGACTTCTTTGCCATTTGTTTTTTGTACGGCAACCGGATCGCTTAACCTCGTTTCGTTATTTCAGTATATATTCGAGGTTGCTTGAACACATTGCTGATTTCATGAGTTTTCTTTTTCTCCCACTCGTCCTTGGTATATTGTTATTTGACTGCAGTAGTTCTTATACACCTATTACCGACCTACAAAACGCCTTTACATTAAAGCGTTTACTCTCGTTGTGACACTGGAGAATGAAATCGTTTCACACAGGGATAGGAGTGCCAGCTCCTTTTTCCCTATCAGGAAGGTGAGCTTGCGCTTAGCTTCTTCGCATTGTCTCTCCTTGGTACATCCTGGGATTTAAATATCTAATTTTCTTTCACCTTTCTTTCTTTTTCGGGCAATGTTTCTGTGTCCACTTTCTATGAAAGTGGTGACAACAACTAAGGTGAACGTTTGTTACTTATTTTACCCACACGAACATTCTTCATCCACCAACTAACTCAAGCGCAATATTGCTTAAAATATTAATTACTTAAGTTTTTTACAATACATTTAGAATTCCTGGATATCCAGAACAGTAGAGATTTCTCTCTCTCAATAGTTCGAGCAGTACTTTTTGTTTGAATGATACTACTGAGTGTTTTTGAAACGGGACGTCTTTTCTTGCGAAAACAAACATTGTCTTCACTTTACCCTTCCTTACATTTACGGAGAACTATGTCTTTTAGAAATTATGTAAATATACCTCAAACGGCCAAATTTTGTTTTCTAACAAGTTTTATTTGGCTGATAGCCTCATTAGGTCAACTGTTTTTCATTCTTCGTTCATGGGAAAGGGAAGATGCGATTCCCAAAGAAGTATCCAAAACAATTCTTGATAAACAATAACGTTTAGCTTAGAGTCTACTGTCAACATTGCGTAGTAAACGCGCCCAGAATTATTGATAAAATTGCCGTTCTTCGCGGTGAATAGTGTTCAGCATGCATTTCTTCGGGCGCTTGAAGTCCACTGGTTAGCGACGATGACCTGCTGCAATACAGGCGTGATTCATAGTTCGACCATGTGCCTCGGGAAAACGTCTTCCATTCTTTGAAGATACGAAAAAAGATACTAGACTTGATATATCGGCAGCCTCCAAAAATCCTTGCGTAAGCCAAGGATGTATTTAGCCACCTCTACTATAACAACTGAGTTAAATGCAAGGCGCACCCGTGAGTGATTGAAAAACGCTAAGCGCTGTATATTATTTATTTCCTATATTTAAGTATATATTCTTACGGAATGGCCTTGTTAATCTGATGCGAGCTTGGTATAAATTATCGTTGTTATTGTTGTTGTTGTTGCTGCTGTTTGATGGGTGACGTTTCGGCAATTTCACCTTCCTCAGAGCCTTGATGTATTTTACGTAACAATAACCTTATAATTCGGTGAAATATCTGCATTATTGATAAAGATCTAACATATAAATAACGTAGGACCACTCGTGTGTTGCTCACGGGAATGACGAGCGAGACACATCTAGGTGAAAAATTAATTTGAAAAAAGGCTCCAAGTCACATGTGATAGTGAGGCATCCGCCTTCCTTTATTTGTTCAGCGCGTTGTTCCAGAAATCGGAATAGGGTGATGATCGGGAATCTTGACAGCTGTGAAGGTGCCAGTGGTCTGGCTCTGGCTCTTTGCATCGTCGATCAGTACCTCATTGAATTGAAGTCGAAACAAATGCATAGTTTGCAAGAAGCACTAAAGTTCCGGCTTGAGTGAATATGTGTTGCTTGCTGACATAGCTAATATTTACGATAGTGTATTTGGAATCAGCTTCTCAAAATCGAACTCATCCCTACGGCGCACAATCTGCTTTTCCAGTTAATTTCTTTCCTAAATATTGTACAACTCCTTAAATTCAATAATTTATAAAACTCCTATTTCGAATCTGCTCACTGTTATTCTCGTATATGTTGATTATGTTTCTCTCCAGATCGCGAGCCTGCAAAGAGCTTCGCCAAGAAAAGTGCCCTCAACTACACATCTGAAGGCAAGGAACGCTTCTCAGGAACAGAAGAGAAAGCCGAGCAAATTTTTCATATTATACGTCCTTATTATAAATAACTTCTGCGACACGCACTATTAGGCACTGCCACTAAGAAGCCGCACCATTTAAGTGATAGGATAGCGAACGTTACCAAAAATGGTGCACCATCCATGAAAACATAATTTAAACAGTGATTGTTGCTCAAAACAAGGAAAACAACTTTGGCTTGGCGTGTATCCTTCAAAGATATTCCCATATAATGATTAATTTTCTGGAATAATAAAATGCTCCATACGATGTAACAATGTAACAATCTCACCATTCATAGTCATGCATGCAACCGCAACACATTCTCGGCTACCACATCTTAGCTGTAGTCGGGAAAGGGCTTACATCTTCATGTGTTCAAAATAAAGCATTCGTACTGTCGACTCGTCAATTCGAGTTACCAGGCTCAGAAAAAATATGGTGAACCATTTTTAAAAGGAGTTTTTCATTTCACCTTGGCACGATCAACCAAAACTCTGTTCTATCGCCGAGCTTATGAAGACGAAGATTCACGACATAATTTTGAGCGGCTAGGGACGCTTGATTTTAATAATTTCTGCGCTGAAGGAGGAAAAAAGAAGAAAAGGAGACACGCTAGGCAAAATAATTTAACAAGATATATCGAATATTGAAATATTTTAGTCTCATCAGTGTGTTGTTGAACCATACTGTCGTTCCCAAGCGTATCCGTTCTCCTACCCTAATTGGTCGGTTTGTGGTTTTAAACTACTCATTGACGCATTTGCTACGGCGTCACATCTATACAAGTTACAAGCAAAGAAACATTTTGGACGGTATGACCTCCATAGAGGCCGTTCTCTTTCCAGTGATTTATTTCGGCGTACAGAACACATTTTCAACACTTGTAAAAAATCTAAAACGACCAAGTTGTTATAAGGTAGCTTGAAAAGAACACCGATGTATACAATACGTCACAATGCAAAAGAACAAAGGAAGAAACTGAACTTGAGCTTCATTTCGTGGATCTTCATTCATTTCGAAGATCCTTCCGCAAAACTCAACTTGAAAGTGGAATTTCCTGCCGATGATGCACGTTCCATTTTCTTCGTTTGACCGGCCACATGAATAAAACAAACCGTTGCCAGCGACAGTGTGAAGAATAATAAGACGGCATAATGCAGAATTGATAAGTAGGGACTTACGAACATTAACATCGCACCAGCCGAAGCCTGCAATTGGAGGAAGTAGGGATGCAACCAATTCTTCTACAAATACTCAAACCCCCTCCACTAAGTGGGAGAAAAATATTGCGAAACAGAGCAAAAATTTTCCTCTAAGAACACTTTTGATATTGTTTAACGTTTTGTTTTCTGCCTTCTATAATTTTCATGGCAGGTTACTAAGCGAAATACAACCACAACGTTGCTGAGATATTTGCAAAACTCTGGACCGCAGGTGTCTATGGTGGGGAACGAACGCGCTATTATCCTTTCCGGGGAGTAACGCGTTCACCACCACACCATGCGGGTCCTTTGTTTCGCACGTCTCTCAGCTATTTCTATCGATCTTTTTGCCACAGCAATCACCCGTCAGCGGGGTTGATAACACTTTTGATATTTTACAGGAACAAATTTAAACACTTTGAAAGGCTTCTATAAGAAGGACTGATGCTTTAAAAAATAACGACAGGTTTTGCTTTGTTTTTGAGGACTTGCCATCCATACTTCCATCGAGGAACACGGGAGTTTTTGTGGTTATCACAGCTTACCTGATAGAATTTTGAGATAGCAAAGGACTGTGCACGTGCTTCGGGCAGTGCAAGCGCGCAGATTACGTTTCTGACGTTGTTCACACAAGAGTCCGTCAGACCAATCAACAAAGCGACGGTCGTCGATAGAAGGACACTGTAAGCGGAAATAAGGTTCTTATTGTCCTCAAATGGTACGGACTCAAGTTAGTTATGTAACAGGTATGAAGTTCATATCAGTATGAAGGGTGTTTTCTAAATGAAGGTTCAGTAGGACAGAAATCGCTCGGAATTGAACCTAATCGATCAACATTAGATTCATTACAATCACTACAAATTCCGTCTATAGAAAAGTCTTGATTTACAGATCCAACAAATCCATCAGCATTCATGAGTCGTCGTTAATAGACAAACAGTTTCTTGCGAGAGAAAGCGGAGTCGAAAATTTCTTGGAGAACTGGTAATTCCAGTGGCAGTCTATCTACTGAGTAGGGCGAATGAGACAAAGTTTCATACTGCCGCCTGTTCAACCTTTCACCACCGCTTGCTAAACATCAGCTTGCACATTAAACGCAGACAGTCGGCCGTTTTAGGTCGATCACTATTGCTCGTAGACATTCTATTTGTTGACAGTTGTCGGCTTCCTAACATAACTTTACAACCTTAATAGCCTTGCTGTGTTTCAAAAAAGGGCAAAAAGGAAAAAAGGATAAAACTTTCGGCGTTGATCAATCTCTGAGGGATGCGCTTTGCACTCGACATCGTTTGGAAGTGATTGAATGCACATCTGGCTTTTGCAATGACTCGCGGTGCCCTACTGATGTATCAAGCCAGTGCCGCTATCCTCACAGACAAGTCTGGTACCGAGTTGCCGACCCCGGAGGAATGGAAAGCTTAGCGAGCAATGGGCGCGGGATCGATTTCACGTCTGTGTTGCAGGGCGCCTCCGACCACTGCGCCTCACCCGCCCTTCATGCAGACATGTATACACATAAATAGAATACCAAGACTAAGTGAAGCAAAATATTACCTGGGTTTAATAAGAAAAGTGGGATCGTTAGTGAGTTCAATGGTGGCCCATGGTGGCACTGAGAGCACAATCACCAACAGCAAGATGGTCGTCAAACCGAAGGCGATGAACATCGTAGGCTTCAGGCCGAAATTAGTAACACGCTTCGACATCGTGCTGATAAATGCGCCCACTGAAGTTTTTTTTTTTTTTTTTTTGAGGCATTTTTTCCGAAATCTCATTGCTACTCTGTTTTAGAATAAACCTACTTTGCTGAGTGATTAAAGGAGACTCACTACTAGTTACTCGTTATTTTGTTCATAAGATTGTCTAGGCGGCTTTATTCCATAACTGTGGAGACGCATACCGTTTTGTGATTGCATACAACTGATCTATACATGAATGTGGAACGCATTTCATAGCGAACTTATCATACTCGTGACCTAACCATAAGATCGCCGAGAAACTTCATGCATCTTCGACCTAATGAAATGTCGAAATGAAATGAATGGGGTGCTAAGGAATACAAAGGCGGTCGGTTGGCTGGGATCCATAGAGGTTGCTGATAAGGTTTGATATCATAGCAGAACGATGGAAAGTTTTTTTCGTTTAGAGCATTGTGAAAGAAATGCTGTGCTTATAAAAGTCGTCCTAGTCGGGTCTAAGAAACTCTGCAGAGGTGAAATCTACCATGCAGAATCTTGCGCTCCCAACGTCGAAACTCGCTCTAAAGAGGGTAAATTGTTAGATCCTAACTCGGTTCCACTAGAAAGTTTCAACAATTTATTTTTTTTTCGCTTTCCTTCGTCTGAAATCTACCATTATCTGGCAGAGACGGGTGATATAATTTATTAGTTATTGGTGTTTACCCCTTATTCCAAAGGCTGTAAAACACCCGTGGCCATGATGATCCTTGCCATTCGACTCTCTGCCACTCCTAATAGGAATATTAGTTGAAGGCAGCTTCCAGAAAAACCAAAGAGTGACTCAAAATAGTAATCAAGAGCGAATAAAGTATTCCAGCTCTATTAGCGAGAACGATTTCCCACAGTGCCGCGTGTCGGGCAATGGTTAGACGTGCACTGCCACCTCTCATTCTTTCAGGGTCTACAAACTCGTACAAGAATTGCTTGTGAGGATAGAAGCATTGACTTTGTAGATGAGCCACCGCAAGTCATACTGTTGGCTAGAAGCGTAATCAATTTGCTTCGATGCTTGACGAAGTCGAATGCAGGGCGCAACCCTCGCCGATTAATGCTGAGAGCTTTATTCTTTTCCGAGCACATACCAGTAGTTACGCATAGGATCAGCTAGCCAACGCAAAGTCGAGTTCTCACGGAAGCAAAGTCATACTCTTAATTGCGTAATCACTGCAACGCTTGGTACCCTTGATTCAACGGCTGGCCGCACACGCGGCACTAATTGATGCAACTGCGACCAGAATTATTCGAAGTCCACACATGAGATGCTAATTTATGTCTTTACGAGCCGCATTCTTTTGATCAAACCTCCTTAGGACAGCAGCCCTAGCAAGAAACGTAGGGGACACCAGAGCTCAACATGCCCTCCGCGGTCACGAAAATTATGTTGCTCTTGGGCTAACTCCGACAAGAGAAGTTCACTCAATAGCTCCAATTTCCGATGGGCACTTTAAAATTTTAATATTTTGTCTAGCTTTTCAAAGATTGACAAAGGCAGGTGATACTGTTGGTTATCAATAGACAGAAACAATTTCAGAGCATATTGCTTACTAAATTAGCCTGCATTCGAAGAAATGGCTGTTCCGCAAAGACATTATCTCAAGAAAAGACTCTCTACTAAACTGTGCTATGATAAATTGCTTATCGAAAAACGTAGCGCAGTGGTAGTGAAGCCGATCATCAAGAGGACTGTAGTGGTTCAATTCCACATCAAGCTCACTAAGCTTCTCGTCCTGCCAGAGTCGGGAAATTGTGACCACACTTTTCCAAGAAAAGTTCATTCTACAGTCCAACTGGGAACGCTGTTGCAAGATTATGCTAGGACTCCAAGGAGAACCGACTGCATCATCATTCATTCGATCACATGGATGAAGAAAGGAGAATCCTCAAGTACAAGCTGAAGCCGTACGCAAAAAGTTGGAGGTCTTTCGTGGGTGATGGATACCAGGAAGCGAATCGAATGAAAGAAGCACTAGCATCTCCGTAGTAGATGTGAAGCTCGTGTAGAATGAGTAAATGAAATAAATTGTTCATTATGAAGGTATATTAAAGTGGCGCTGAGAAGTTTCAAAATTGTAGTTGGTACTATTCTTTGGTGGTCGCGCTATTCATAACTTTCTTAAGTTCGTTGTTCATATTACAGTGTTTTCCATCACATTTAAAAATAGAAATTTTTGTGAGTGTGGAAGAAACCAAGGTACTCAAAAGCTGTTGCACCGTATCTATATAAGATTCGAACAATATCATGAATGGCTTACTTATAACCTCTCCAGTGCCTACGGCAAGACTGTAAGAAGCCGGCAGATAGATATGGCGAGAAAGAGACTTGGTGAAAATTAAAGATGTTGGGTAGACGGATATCCAGAAAGATGTGTAGAGACCGAGATGTATGAACAGCGGCGACAACGTGATCATCCGCTTGTCGACGAAGGTGTCACCAATCAGAGCTGCAATTGAAATTTGGACATATTTTGATATTTTCCTTCAAAACAATAGTAGCCTGAGGAATAAACTCACCCATCTCTGTATGAAATGTCTTCTCAGTCTTACTGATCCGGCTCTCTATGCAGTTTGGAATTCCTCGCCATGGGATCATGGCAAAAGTGATGTTCGCGAAGAATGTGATCGCGGCGAATGCACCGTACATCATTCGAATTTCGGAATCTGAGAAGTAGCGATAGGTGTGGCCATTAACGATTTCTGTCTCGTTCGACGGCGCTTCAGGTTGGACCAAATATTTGTTTAAGGAGAAAATCACTGCCAGAATTCCACTGCCAACAATCATACTGCAAATTATAGAGTCGATCAAGTTGAGAAAAAGCATAATTTGAATTCTATTGGAAAATTACTTAATAACCCTTCAAAATTTATCTCATTGGAAAGTACCATTATTGAGTTTTATTAACCTTTTCTTTCGTTGACTTGGATGAAGCTCCCAACAAATACATGGCTTGTAAAGCAGTAGTAGCTATGCTGTTCATCAAGAGCACAGTGCTTGCCGACCCTGCCCCGCGCTCAACAAGACTCTCATTCATCGTCCCTGGTTAGGAAATTGGTACTAGGTATTCGCAAAACTCCTAACCGTAAGTGTCTGTGGTGGGCAACGAACGCGCTATTGTTCTTTCCGGGAGTAACGCGTTCACCACCACACCATGTGGGTCCTTCGTTTCGCCTGTCTCTCAGCTAGTTCTATTAATCTTTTGCCGATGCTTTGCAATCAATCAATAACGTGATTGCTGATGACCAAAGATCAATAGAACTAAGAGACAGGCGAAACAAAGGACCACAATGGTGTGATGGTGAGCGTGTTACTCCCCAGAAAGGACAACATCGCGTTCGTTCCCTACAGCAGACACCTGAGGTCTGGAGTTTTGCAAACATCTCAACATCATTAAAATTATATTTCGCAATATATACCCTGCCGTTAAAAAGAGCAGGCAGTAAATAAGTTAAAATTGGTAGTAGGCTTATCTTGAAATAATACTGTCCCGTAGATCCAATTGGAAACGTTGCAGCTTAGCTATTCTAAAATTCGTGTAGGAACTGACTGGAATGGCATTCATTGGCATTTATGAGCATTCATAAAGACTACAGTCCTTTCTCAAGCAGCAGCCGAATTTAAACGCGAGACGTCGCGGATGACGGACGCGTGGAAACGAATAGAATGCAAGAAATGCTGGGATCCCCACGATAGATGCGGAGATGGGTCGCGCAAAAAAACCTAACGCATTGATGGATGCTGTTTGCTAAGACTATTCGGGTATATATTATAGCCGATCGTTTGAAACTCGCATCAAATTTTTTTACGATGAAATTTCGCCACTGTTCCCTTAGTCATCTGTCGACAAACTTGTCTAAAGTTTTCTTCTATTACATCTTACTTGGATACTTGGGCGCCCCCTGATTGGGCGGGCCCTAGCATAATTTTCATTCGTTTCCCTGTCGCACAGTGGTTGTTCCTGGTCTGGTCTCAGAATATGGTGTTTGAACGGAGAAGAATGAAAGTTCTCGAGTAGGCCGACCTGGTGGGTTTCAGTCGCCATGTTTTATTATATCGGAAGAGGAAAGATGCTGCGTAACAACGTACACAACCACCGAGCGATATCATGAAAAAAATTGCAACTTTTCCTGACTCAGAAGATAACCGAATGTTTTCCAATAATGCATTATAGCCGGTTGTTCAAAAAAATTTCAAAAACCTGTGAACACTAAAGGTCCTAAGTGGAATAAGAGCTTATAGATTCTGCTGATTTCAGTAAGCATTTTAATACTTGCTTTACTGAAACTGTCCTTTGGTACCCTATGTGCAGTTCAAACTTTTTTAAACTGTGTTTCACATCGCTACCATAAGCACCCGATCGACCACGAAACGGCGGAGTTCCGCTCGATTGACTTCCTCGTCGAGTGTGAAGTTAAATAGGAACCATGGCCGGTGTAATACACTGAAAAAATTTCCAAATCAATATATTCCATCGAGAAGCTCAACTAGAACTATTGAAACAATTTATTCCACTTTGCACTGTCTATGTGTTATCCTGGTAGCCTGAGGTTTCTAGAAAGGAAAAAAAGCTGGGTAGCCGTTGGTTCGGTTTTTGTCTCTAAAACAATCTAACCGCTCCATCCCTCTCGGGTCGACAAATGGCTATCAGAATTGTCTACTACGATAGAAACATTGATTCGGTACATCTGTAGGCACTCACAATTCACTGAGATGTTATTGGAATCGAATTTATGACATATACTTAAAGAATTAATGGACTCCTAACTCCTCATGTGTTTTCCTAGTTTCAGATGCAAGAGCTGAAACTTCATAATTGTATAGATAGCGCGTAATGTAGAACATATTCAGAACAGAAAATCAGTGAGTAATTAGAATTGAGAATCGGATAAAAACTATTTCCAGAAATCAACATGCTAGCATCTTGACTTTTATTTACGTCTTATTTTTTTCATTGCAGATATTTCGTGAAATACAGCCTTGTGGTTAGGATACTGAGGTATAGGCAAAACTGGGAACCTCGCCAGGGCTTCGAACCTTACCGGCGGCTCACGTGCTATCCACCGCACCAACTTGGGCTTTGGCTTCTCCTCAGAAAGTGTTCAGAGAGTTTGTACCAAGGAATATATGAAAAACCGTTAGCACTGTCTTGAGTCGAGGTTAGTAATTATCGTGTAAATGCTCAGCCCACGTGATACGAAAAAGCATTTTGGCACTGCTCTTAAAGCGTTGCCATCAGCAAACACGCCCCGCTCATGAAATTCGCTCATTGAAAGATTCTTTCCATCCAATATAAAATTGCATTCACTGCTAAGTCCAGCAAAACTAGATCTGTTGTACACCGCTTGTTTTTATTCTAATCGCGCAGTAATACAACACCTTCTACGATAATCCAATAGCTATTTCAAAATGAGGGCCGTGTGCTCTCAATTGGATAGTTTTCATCGAATCTAAAAACAAATTTTCAGACGAACTTACATGCAAATCCAACTCCCATCACTGCACAAGAGAAGTAGAAGTAGTACTTGTTCAGGTATAAAAAGCCCACTTGATAGATGGTAAAGCATAGAGAACCAAAGAATAGCGTCCACTTTGTCGACAGCTTTCTCAGCACTGATGGAGCGAAGAGACATGCGGTCAGGTACGCCGCATAGCAGGTCGCCTGACTTAAAAGAACGACTAAACTCGCTTTAGGGTTAGTATTTTCGCTTAAGAAAAAACAGCATTTTCCAGATAAATGCCTAGTAATATCTCCACTTTATTCGTCTAGAGCAACTGATTTATTCCGGTTCATATTTCGGTGTTCTCTCAATTACCTTCTTTTCTTTTAACACTTCGTCCTCGCATTATTTCCACACAGTGAATGTCCCTACGTCCGGAATTCCTCATTCAAAATAAGAGTATTTTTTAAAATTTAAGCTAGTCTTTTTAGAAGCCGTGTTTGCAAAGAAGATTTTTAACTTTTAACTTCATTTTGAGCCTTGCTGTAGCTCATTCTATAAATATGAAGGCACCTGAGACGTATTTGAAATAAAATCATTAGACTTAAAAAAACCGTAATTTGTCTTAAACCAGAAAAGTCGGAAATAAAGCACTCATTGTTTTAGCTTTTATCTACCACCTACTCTTTTTCTTCATAGCAAGTTATGATGCGAAATACAACTACAAGGATGCTGAGATTTGAGCAAAATTTGGAACCTTAGGAGCGCTTCGAATCCGCGATAACGCTTTCCGAGATTTCACATGTTATCCGCCACACCAACCGAAGCTAGTCCTTCAACTCTCTCTTAGCCACGGTTCTACTCTATTCGTGCTATCAGCAGTCCCCTATCAACAGGAATTATGAGGTGGATGACAGGAGAGGCCCTAGTAAGAGCAGTCGCAGATTCGAAGCCCGGCTGAGGTTCCTAGTTTTGCTCGTATCTCAACATCGGTGTTGTTGTAGCGCAGTAGTAGAAACGAACTTTGCTAACCCTTCCACTTGTCTTCTTTTTACGCAATGAGGACGTTAAATACGATGGATCACACAGAAAATTTATAAGACGTATTTGTATTTCACGAGATCTCCATCTGATTTTCATTCATTCCTTGCCTCACCATCTTTGCAGTGCGAAATTATTCAGTTAGTCGAAAAACTGTGCAGAAATCAGGTCGTACTTACCCGTAGTAGCCAGCGAATGCGTCGATGCGTGAAGGTTCCCTCATGTGCACCGCATGAACTACCGACTCAACCACGAACGACTGCAACCTTGCAAACTATCAATACTCTCTCATGGAAATACCGTTAAATGTACTCACTTAGTTGGTGAAATTCTTTTCTAATAAGTTCATTCGACATACAAAAAGGATGCCTGCCTGTGTATCATAGCCAGTCATTATGAACATTTGTCCTAGTCCGAGGAGGGCTACACACAGAAGTTCGAACATAGTCGTTGACGAGCTTATACTCATTGACGTTGACGAGCTTACTCCAGCTGACGTTGGCATACTTAATCCCATTGGTGTAGAAATTCTTCAAAAAGGAATATGAAATAATCACAAAGCAATCTTATGCTTTATCGTTTATTTAACCTTCCAATAGATACTCTTTATGGACTTTCGAAAGCTCTAGGATTGCTTTTAAGGAAAAAGGGGTCGATTTCTTGCAGTTAGATTGCTGTCATATCCTTTATAAAATGGCCACTGTTACTGAAGGAAAGGATATAAGTAGACACTGGACGATCCTAGTCCAAATGCACATCTATTGAACGTTTCAACAAGCACTTTTATGATATTTAAAATTGCCGCCTTCATATGTAGTAAGAGGGCTTCTAATCGCTTCGTCACCAACTGTGTAACCATGAGCTTGCAATAACCATACTTTTATTCGCATAATGCTGAGATACTTGCCTCCGCACCGCAGGTCCGGAGTTTTGCAAGTATCTCAGCATTACATACGAGTTATATTTCGCAACATACCCTGCCATTAAAAAGAATAGGCAGTAAATAAAAAGGTTAAGATTGTGTTCATACTTCTATTATTATAGCAGAGATCAGATCATGTACAATAAACTTTATTTCACTGAATACAAAGTAACCAGTGTCCTGTTTATATTCAGCATTCCATGAGCTTAGGGAATAAATCAAGAAATGTAGTTCTTCCCAAAATATTTAGATACTTGTACAACTCATTCTCATTGGTTGAGCGGATATTCAGCATATTCTCCATTTTTCGGAGTTTTACTGGTTCACCCACTGCGGTTTCCTGGAGTCCCGAGGTCAACCTGGCCAAAATGTGCCCCAGGTCGTCACCACCACATACAGTCGCCGCTCCTGTGGATCAGAGGAAGATTAGCCACCATGCGATTGGTTTAATACCAGGACTGTGGTCGATCCTGGTATTGGTTTATTCTTAGCTGCGCTTTCTGACAGAAACGCCGGACTTGTTCTCAGCTTGGGAGACCATGCTGGGGAATGAACCTTCCGCCGTACATCGCAGTCCGACCCCTAGGAACACCTTCCAGCCACGATGAGGTGGTAAAGCGTTGGGAGGTAGATCAATCAATAAATTTAGACATTGGCAACATGAATTAATTGGTGGAATTCGCTGTAGGTGTCATCAGGGGAACTAGAGTCGTCGTTCTCTCACTCTTTAGGAGCATTCCGGAACATCTGTGCACACAAGGAGCTCACTTGTAAGGTCGTCTAGGTTTTCGACCACGGTCTGGACCGCATTCACCAATCCTGCTCCTGTGAACAGAAGTCATGATTCTTATGAATTTCTCATGATTTATTTGCCTTGTGCCGTTTAGAAGCTGGCCCACCCTCTTCTGCTGTATTCTACGGAAGCAGCACAAGTACCGACCGAGTTCCTCTCAAAATACTGTAAAAAATTACTATTTAATGATAATAGTTAAAATGCAGTGATCGATTTTCGGGAGACGCGATCGTTTTTATGCGAAGACTATTTTTAATGTGTCGTTTTCTTGTTCAGCAATCGCGAGGTTTTTAAACAGCATACATTTACTTCCATAGAAAAACACAATCCGATACAACGCTAGCTGACGTTTCGGCAGTATCGCCTTCTTCAGAGCCTGGAAGGGTATGCTGATATACAATCTACTAGGCCAAACGCTTCAATAACACTTACAAAAAACGAAAAACTCTTTGGTAATTACATGATCAACAACTTTCTCGAAAAAACCCACCGCTTTTTGCGTGACTTCCAATGAGGAAGGCTAGAACAGCTGATTATAGTCGCATGTGGTTGACGACTGCACCATCACACAACAGGAATTGATGCGAACATACCGGGTCAGGCCGCGCATAACCTCTGGGCATTCTTTCCTGCTATTCATTGTAGAGTTTTTAGCATTTATCAAAAAAGCCTCAAGAAGTTTTCGCGCTGGTGTTTTGGACTCCTGTGCAAGGATATTGACTTTCACTTCAAAATCGTCTCCGCTATGCTTTTGTATCCTATGCGTGCCTAGTGGGGTGCTTCGTCTTAGTTTTCGTTTGCCATCTAGGTGTTCTTTTATACGGATACACAAAGGTCTGCCCATTTTGCCAATATATTCATCTCCGCAATTATTACAAGAGATCAGGTATATCGTACCTGAACTCGTGCAATCACCGTCCCTGCCGTAAGGGCAAATTACGCAATTTGTTGTTTCACACAGACGGTCATACAGGCGGTTATGAACTAAGTGACGACGTAGAGTAGCCGGTGGTATTTCAACTATCGCTGCCGATTCCTCTAGAAAATGAACGAGGAAATACTTCTCAAGCATCGTTTTATAGCTACGTTTACTTCATTGCTTATAACATAAACGGGATTTTTTTGGCCAAGTGTTTCGCGTGGGCGCGTCGCTCTTCTTCTAAACCTATCTTGTGGGGTTAGTATTTCGTAGCCATTGGAGATGGCTATTTGCCGAGCCAAGTCGCACAACTCTTCCTTTAGTTCCTTGGTAGCGCACACAGAGGCGGCTGTTCGAAACATGTTTCCCACAAGCGCCCTCTTTGTTTGCGAAGGATGGGAGGAAATGGAATAAACGAGGATGTTCTTGTTACTTGGCTTTCGGTACCACTTTGTCAAGTAACCGCTACTTGATAGGTTTATTTCAACGTTCAAAAACGGAAGCCAGTTTTTTCTCGGTTTCTCCGGGCTAAAGTTATTGTACTCACCCTGCACGTTCAATAATTCGAAGTATTTGTCCATCTCCTTCTGCGTAGAGAAGACGACAAAACAATCATCTACATATCTACAGTAGAGTAGTGGCCGGAGATCGAACACAGGGGCTTCTATCTTAGACGTAAACACAATGGCAAGGCTTGGTGCCAATCGCCGTCCCATTGCCAACCCCCTTATTTGCGCGAAATATTTTCAGACCATCTGAAAATCGAGCAGTTTAGGCACTCCTTTAAGAGAGCCATTAGCTGTTGGATGGACAAGCCATGCATATTTATTCTTCCTTCATGTTCAACAAGAAGCTTGAAGATGGTTTGCATTGCGGAGTCATTCGACACGTTGGTGTACAGTGCGGTAACGTCGAAAGACACCATCACGTACGCGTTATTAGGAGACGCGTTACGTAGACGTTCTAGGAACATTTGGGTGTTTGTGAGGTGAGCTGGAACGTCAGCTAGCGTTGTATTGTATTGTGTTCTTCTATGGAAGTAAATGTATGTTGTTTAAAACCCTCGCGATTGCTGAACAGGAAAACGACACATTCATATTCCAATGCCGAGGTTAATAGAAAGTCGATCATGGCAACTATTTTTAAATCGAAGAAACACAACACATCCTAGTATCAGTAGTAATTCAACAGCGATGCGAATTAATGAAGGCTAAGTAAAAGTCTATACTTGCATATTATATAACAAATTAGGTTGCATGTGGTGTAACGGTAGTGATGCCGTTCCGAACTCTTAGAGCTCGACCAGCTCACGCAGTGGTTCGACTACGACGTGTGCCCACCAAGCGTCCTATTACTCCGAGGTCGAGAAATTGGTACCATACTTATCTCGGACCAGACACTTCAATGGACGTGAGAAATACTTCGCGCAGTCAACTTCAGGATTTTAGGAAGAATCGATTCGAGAAGCATTTAACGAAATTCATACTAAAGACGAAAATCCTCAAGCAAAAGTTCAGCCTACGCGCAAAGATTTCGAAGGCTTAAGTGGACGACGGTTGCGAGGAAATACAAGTCGAATACAAGAAATGCTGAGACACTCAGGATATCACATGTGATGACGAATCATGCAAAGAAATAAGAAGGAAAAGTAGATAAAAAATAATGAAAGGACTGCTACTGACTTTTCTCTACCCTTAATCAAATTGGATTATTCTTTCAATCGCTTTAAAGAATCCGACAAGAGGAATGGTCCATCTAATGGCTCTCCCTTTACAAGGTAAAGTTATCGAAAGAGACTGAGGCGGCGGTTGAGGACATTGTTTTGTCAAATTCAGAGTGTGGTACTCAGTTTCACTCAAATCAATGCAATGCAAATTTCAGCAATTCATAATCGAGCGCCGGGGTCGCTGTTAAACCCGGATCGGAGTTCTGTTCTGCTGGTGTTCTCAACAAAACAGTAATCTCTCTGCATCAACCGTTTTTAAGTGCGAATCTTCAACAACACGCACCGTGCATGGTTTTCAATTCAAAAGTCATCAAACGTGACCAATGTTTCCACGAAATCAATGGTTAACCGCAATATTTGAACTTAAACCGCTTAGTTTTATATCAGTGAATTCCTACTCTTATGTGGGAATAGATTTTCCGTCGTCAGCTGATGCCAACACATTTTCTTTGCCGTGGCGCTGATTGTGGAAACATGGAAGATCGTGATGTTCATGCACTTCGTCTCACATTTATCACCTTTGATATGGCAAAAAACCTAATAAATTGTTCCAACAAATTCGTGATATAAGCCATACTTTAATCTGGATTTTCTAGGAGGCGATATTATTAACCCAATGGTTGCCAACGTTTTCGTAAGTTACAGCTGAATTGTTTGTCTCGGTCACTTGATCCATTCGTAGAAATCAGTTAATGCTTTTTTACTCAACAATGTTATTTTTTCGATGTGTTTAAAACAGCAGAGAGGTTCATTTTCAACCAACTATCACCATGGGTGTAGGCATGTCAGCAGAAGTGGAACAGAAATCAATCCATAATCGGTCACGAGTAAACTTTCGCCGCATTTGTTTTCTTATGCTATGGAAAGTCCGTTTTTGCTGGATACCACTTGTTAGGATTTCTTCTGTTTACGCCATCTGCTTTCTGCTCTAGAAAATGACAATGTGTTTTTGGCACACTCTTCATTGTTTCACGTAGTGAGCAACACTTCGTGGCTTTAAGAATTCTCCGCAATCCAAGCAGATAATCAATTTACGGGAGCGTTTAGTGTAGTGGTAGATCTGTGCAATGTACACTGGATCGTCCATTAGTTCAAAGTCGCGGTAAGAGCTGAGGAAACCGTTTATCCCTTTGAAGCAGGAAATGTGGTAACAGGCT